AGAATCACTAGCAGCAGCGGCAGCAGAGGTTGACATTGTTTGTGGCATAAATCTTTTGGGTCAAGTGAAATTCCACAAGAATAAAATGTGCACCGTTTTCTCGTTTTAGCCAAAACAACAGCGAATGACGTTGCAGGCCACAATATTGATTTTTGAGCTAAAAAGTTCAATTCTTTCCATAGAAATTCTATTCTTGCATGCATGGAATAGAATAGAATTCTTTTGTCAGATCTAGTCAAAGAATATATCCTTTGTTTTGAAGTTTAAAAATCTTTATTCCTGTTTATTTCAGGTTTACTTCTGATAGAAAATATGTACTATGCCTTCAGTCTCTGATTCGTTTTCGTTTGTCGAATTGTTTAAACCATTATAAATGTATTTTCGCAGCCCACATATTCTTGTTATTTAAGTACTAAATCGTTTCACTTAATATTAACATAATAGTGTAGCTATAGCGGACATTCTTGAAAAAAACAAAAACGCTGAAAATTTTATTTCTTCTGTATAATTTTTTTTTTTGACGAATTTAAACTTTCAAACTTATATTTTGAAATATAAATTATCATTTCAAAGTTGTGATGCAAAAAGTTTTCAGTTTCTTGATTTTCAGTCAAATTTGATCTTTAAAGATTTTAATGCAATGGTAATCATTAATTTCGATTGCATTAACTGAATGAAACTATTGTTATTCGTCTCAAAATTTTATCTCATTCAATAAATCCAAATATAGCTTTATTTCAATAACATTGAAAATTATGTATTTATATATATATATATAAATATATATATATATATATATATATATATATATATATTACATTTTTTATATATATATATATATATATATATATATATATATATATATATAACTATGGAATATATATATTTATCCTTTATATATATATATATATATATATATATATATATATATATATATATATATATATATATATATATATATATACTGCGTGTCAAATTATTATCGAGATAACTTTTTCTAATATTTCAAAAACCGTCCAATCAATTCACACAAAATTTTCACACAATGTTGGCAACACTGACCTGCGCAATCACTGAAATTTTCGTACTGATCTGCGCAATGTAAACAAACTGGCGCCATATACGGTGATTTGAGCGTGCCAAATTATTAGAAAAGTGTAAGAATTTAGTGAAAAGATGGGCCGTAAAAGCAGTTTAAATGATGCTGAAAAGAAAACTATTACCCCAGAACTCTCAAAAGGTAAATCTACCCTAGAAATTTTTAAATTGATAGGGAAGTGTCATCAAACAGGGAAAAATTCACCGCCGACACTACACAAGTACGCAAAAGGGCATATAAAGGTAAGCCGAGGGTTATTTCACGTCGTCTCATGTCACAACTTAAACGATAGGCCACGAAGAACCCTGGACTTACCAGTCAAGAGATTTTCAGTCGCATTGAGGATCCTACTGTGTCTAAAAGTACATGGTGTCGGTATCTGAGGGAAATAGCAACAACAGTCAAACCTGTATCGAAGTCTCCTTTGACGAGAAATCACATTCAAAATCGATTGAAATGAGCCGAGGACAATATGAAGATTGACTTCTCTAAAGTTTTGTTCCCAGAGGAAACTCGAGCAGCATTTGATGGGCCAGATAGATGGTGCAAAGTCTGGGTAATGAACGGACAGAATCGCCATCAGTGTTTGAGACGCCAACAAGGCGTGGAGGCATAATGATCTGGGGTGGTGTTATTGGAAACACATTAGTGGGCCCATGGAGAGTACCAGATGGCGTCAAAATGACTGCTGATGCATACATAGCTTTTATGAAGAAGCATCTTGAAACGTGGATGAAAAGGCAAAGAGTTGCCTTCAGAAGGGCCATTGTTTTTTATGCAAGATAATGCTCCCTCACACGCTGCTCACAAGACTACTGAATATTTGAAACAGTTAGGCTTCGATGGACCTCGAAAAATGAAGTAGCCAGCAAATCCTCCGGATTTGAACCCAGTCGAAAACATTTGGAACATCATGAAGCGAAGACTACGCCAACGGACGACAATTCAGGAGCAACGCTGAGTTGTGGGAAGCAATTCTTGACATACCTCGCGGCATTACAGCAGATGACATCCTACAATTAACAAATTCTATGGATCGTCGACTTTTTCAAGTAATTTCAAAACAGGGAAAGCACATTCCCTATTAATTTGTTTAAAAGTGTGCTTTTGTTATCTGTTATTGTTTGATTATCTTATTTATTAGCTTCTTTTGATCATAAACCTTCACGTGCAACATTAATAAACGTTTCGTTTGCTCAATTCTGGGAATTTTATTAAACCTTTCTAATAATTTGTCACACTGAAATCACCGGGCTGATAACAAATATGGCCCCAGCTTGTTTACATTTCGCAGATCAGTACGAACATTTTCAGTGATTGCGCAGCTCAGTGTTGCCAACATTGTGTGAAAATTTTTCTGTGAATTGATTGGATGGTTTTTGAAATAGTAGAAAAAAAGTTACCTCGATAATAATTTGGCACGCAGTGTATATATATATATATATATAATGAGGAGATCAGCCGGTTCCAATACCTTGATTTGAACATTTCGGTATCTTCAAGCGATTTCGATCAATTGATTTCCTAACGCTTTATTTTAAAAAAAAAGAAATACAAAAATTAAAATTTATTAACGCTAAATTTATATAAAAATAAATAAATAAACGAAAAGCGCCAATGCCAGGTGTGTTAGAAAGTAAGGAATAGGAGGGGCAAAGCAAGTATATTAGAAATGTATCGGTGGTGGTGGGGGCAAATGAAATACATACTTTCATTTCGTCTCAATTCATATGAACTCAAAAGGATGTTTTTAGTATGTATACAACGTGTCATAATTTTTTGTGTGTTTTGAGCACTGTTAAATATTACTGTTTATCTGAACATTGACAATTAACACACACACACACACACACACACACACACACACACACACACACATATATATATATATATATATATATATATATATATATATATATATATATATATATAATTTTAGCGCATGCATCTCGACTGGTGAGAACAAAAATTCATTGCTCTACTCTTGTTATTGAACCTCTTTTGAATTAATTTTGTTAACATTAAATTTATTATTTTTCGTTCTCATTGCATTCACATTTAAAACACACACACACACCTATATATATGTGTGTGTGTGTGTGTGTGTGTGTGTTTGTGGTGACACCTAACTTATGTGTGCATGTTTGTATATATATATATATATATATATATATATATATATATATATATATATATATAATAAATATATGGATTTTTGTTTATTATTAGCGCTTCCATTATTTTTTTAAACATGTATTGTTATACTTGTATTTCCTACTATGTTTTGAATATATATATATATTATTCCTTGTGGGAGTTTCCTTATTTATTATTAGGACTTCCATTATTTTGAAACATTTTTTTATGTATGTCTGATGCTGTTATATTTGTTTTTTCTACAAGTATATTTAGGATGGATTATCATTGACTATGAGCACTGCCACGGCTAAAATAATAGTTGAAGCGCTCGGATATTGCGAACATATGGACAGTTTTTACACACATATATTAATGAATATAATATATCGCAGATAAAGTGCAGGTGTAAACAAAAATGCTCCCTGCAAGTCTATATTAACAAATAAATAAATGCGTGGTGCATGGAAATCATAGTCGTACTAACGGTGAGGGATAATATGTATATTTATTAACATATGTATCAATAATAATGAATATCACGTTTTAAAACCCTTCTGCTGTTATTATTGCAGCTACTTCAAGTGTATTGATATATCGGGATTGCAAATTTGAGCGCCTTTTCTCAGCATAATTAACATTCTTGCATTCAAAGGATTGGAATGATTTTTGACCAGATTTAAAGTTTTTCCATAACTGTTCCTTTCATGAAGCAGATCTTGCATTTTCTTGAGTGTGTCATAGTTTGCAACTCTTATTTGAGCCCGATGAATCAAATCAGACACAAATGTTGAAGAACTTTGGCAGTAATAATAAAAATCGAATATGTTGGTACACTTTCTTTTGAACTTTAAAAAGTAGGGATAAATCCTCTCATGATTAATTTTAGCAAAAAAGTGTTAATCTGAAAAGCCCTATTATAGTTCTGAATGTTTTACAGAAAGTCCTAGGAAGCAGTAATAACACCAGCTAAAATTTCAATCATTGACTCTCGAGGATCTTATAGAAGCTTCAGCTTGACCTTACCACCTGTGGATCACATACCAGGAGGTATATTTTCCTAGGATTTTGCTCGAAAACTAAGTACAGATTCTGTTCTTGCACCATTCTCAGATGCATAATCAGTCGTTGGATCATAATTTATAGCGGCCAAGTGCAAATTGGAAAAAATTCTGTTCCGTGATTGGGAAATACTTGACACGTCAAGAGAACGTCTTTCAGATTTTTGCCCTTCAGTTTCATTTTGGCTTTCCTGATGATTTATTACCTTAATGTCTTACAACAAGTGAGACCACCGTACTTCAATTTCATTTTGTCTTTCCTGGTGATTTATTACCTTCATCTTTTACGACAAATGAGACCTCCGTACATCAGTTTCATTTTCTTTCCTGATGATTTATTACATTTATCTCTTACAACAAATGAAACCACCATACTTCAGTTTCATTTTGTCTTTCATGCTTATTTATTACCTTCACCTTTTACAGCAAATCAGACCACCGTACTTCAGTTTCATTTTGTCTTTCCTGCTGATTCATTACCTTCACCTCTTACAACATATGAGACCACCGTAGTTCAGTTTCTTTTTTCTTTTCTGATCATTTATTACCTTCCTCTCTTACAATAAATTTGATCACCGTACTTTAGTTTCATTTTGTCTTTCCTGATGATTTATTAACTTCATCTCTTACAACAAATGAGACCACCGTACTTTAGTTTCATTTTGTCTTTCCTGCTTAAATATTACCTTCATCTTTTACAACAAATGAGACCTCCGTACTACAGTTTCATTTTCTTTTCTGATGATTTATTACATTTATCTCTTACAACAAATGAGACCACGGTACTTCAGTTTCATTTTGTCGTTCCTGATGATTTATTACCTTCATCTGTTACAACAAATGAGACCACGGTACTTCAGTTTCATTTTGTCTTTCCTTGTGATTTATTACCTTCATCTCTTAAAACAAATGTGATCACCGTACTTCAGTTTCATTTTGTCTTTCCTGAAGATTCATTACCTTCATATGTTACAACAAATGAGACCACCGTACTTCAGTTTCATTTTGTCTCTCCTGATGATTTATTACCTTCATTTCTTACAACAAGTGAGATATCCGTATATCAGATTCATTTTGTCGTTTTTGTTGAATTCTTGCCCTCGTTTTTTTTATTCTGTGAGATCTTTCCTCTTCCTTGTTCATTTCTAACCCTCTTCTTCCCTGTGAGATCTTTGAAACGAAGGCTCATTTTGCCTGCGTCTTCCAATTCTTATACATGTTTCTTTAATCTGCGGCTCTTGAGTTTGATTTTGTTCAATCTGTTCATTTGTGCTTTTGTTATCTTGAACCGCAATATTCTTTGTTCTTCTACTATTTCGACTAATCTCTGCATCTCTTTCACAATAGCAGCAGGTAAGTTTCTTCCAAGATGGAATTTTTTTTTCTTGGGTGGCATGTAAACTCACCCGATAACTATTTTACTATCTTAATTGTACTAATAATTTGGTTTTCAATATATACAGCCCTGGTCAAAATCTTATACAAAAGACTTAAAGAATACAAAATACTGTTACTTTTATCAAAATATATGTATGAAATATTTACATGTAATTAGAAAATGTATTTTATCAACAAACAAATGGAAATTTTAACCTTTTAATTGAATAATTTAAACAAACATTAAAAAAAGGAATATTTGGTTGGTCATAAAGATAATACCATCTGCAAAAAAAAAAAAAAATACTGAAACTATTTTTTTTAGAAATAGTTAGTGTGCTCCTAGCTTCAGGCGTGTAGAAATCTACGTAGCTCCTTTCCAGTATTAAATTTCAGAATTTAAAATAGCAAAGGGTAAAATTTTAACAAAGTTCGAACTGGCAGGATTGTTGAACATGAACGACGTGATCTTTCGCAACGTGCCATTGCAAATGACATTGGCCTTAGCAAAATTGTCATTGCTAAGTTCATTAAAAATCCGGATGCGTTTGCTTCTAAAAAATCAAGCGGTCGCCCCAATAAAATCTCACCATCTCTAGACAGACGCATTAAGAAAGAAGTTAAGAGAGATTAAAGCCTAACATCAAATCAGAATACAGATGCTGAATGCAGCAATCGAACAATTCGACGACATTTAAATAAGAAACGGTTTAAGAACTTGAAACGGCTGCAGAGGCCACGCCTTCTTCTTCGCCATAAAACATCCCGTTTACAATTTGCTCCCTATTATCAAACTTGGGAGGTGGATAAATGGAAGAATGAGTTGTTTTTCAGACTAGAAAAACAATTCAATCTTGATGGCCTAGAATTTTTCTCAACACCACACAGTGGAGGTCGATCAATTATGGTCTGAGGTTCATTTTCATACAATGGAACTCTTGAGATACAGAAGTAAAAATCATCAAACAGCTGCTAGTTAGACTGATATGTTATGAAATGCATCGCTAATTACTGAAGGCCCTCATCTATGTGGAGAAAACTGGATTTTTCAGCATGGCAATGCTGCAATCCAGAAAGCTCTCTACCCAAATGAAAAAGTTTGGGGATGGATGGCAAAGGATGTTTATAAACATGGATCGCAATTTGAAATTGTGGATGCTCATCGTGCTGCAGTTTATGCATCCTGGGCGAGGATCCCAAGCACCCTCATGCAGATATTAATAATGAGCATGCCAAAGCGAATTTTCGAAATAGCAGAAATGGAGGATTTACTGAGGATAAATTGTCGTTTTGACTTATTTGTTCTGTGTTTGGCATTTTTATATACATGACCTTATCTTTATGACCAACCAAAAAAAAACCTTTTTCAATATTTGTTTAAATAAACCCATTAAAAACTAAAATGTTCACTTGTTTGTTGATAAACTACATATTACAATTAAATGTAAATGTTTCGCAAACATATTTTGATTAAAGTAACAGTATTTTATATTTTTTTAACCCATTTGTCTGAAGTTAAGATTTTAACCAGGGGTGTATGTCACTAATAACACACTTCCACTAATTTATAACAGATAAGTCACTAATAAAGTATTAAGTATAACTAATGCAAGGTATAACGTAAGCTCATGTTTTTGTATATTATCGTCAAAGTATTGCACAATATTTTGCATTATAAGGGTCAGATAAGATGCAAGTTTTAACTAATTCTAGTTAACTGTGACGGAATCCATTTTCTGCCCTTTGGGGAACATTAAACCTCTACCTCAAATGATTTTGATGCACTACAAATTTTATTAATGATATTTTTTTCAATATTAGTCAATGTGAATCTTTTACTACATACAGACACCATTTTGGGCCCCAGCGATTTGCCTCATTTCTCGTTTCTAAAAGAAACCGTGTTCAATGATTTTGCTTTTGGATTCGCTACAAAATTTTTCTCCATATATTAATTTTTCTCCATATATTAATTGCCTAAAACCTAATCTAGGTTCAAACATATCCCACGTGACAGTTTGATCGAGATTGATACAATCGATTTGATTTCAATAAAGGGCATACGTACATGCGTACGAACTCCTTTATAATATGTGATACTTGCAAAAAGGCTGCAGAGTGCTTGCGTCCTTATATTTAAAATCTATTCGTAGCAATGTGCAGATTTACGCTCTATTTATATTCTTCAAATTTTCCCTGGCTGATAAATTAAATTTCCTTTCTCCTTGTTCATTTCATTTTTCTCACATCTATTTCCGTTAATATCTTAAAGTCAATTAAAGTTTAAAAATTAGGTATGCATAATGAAATATCAGTACGCATTAAATATGACGTTTATATCAATAAGAGATAAGGTCGGATTATAAAGAAAATCAATCCATTAATTCGATAGAAATTTCCATATATTTCAAATCGAAAGAAAAAAAAAATAATTTATATTACTTTCACCATCCAAATGGAACTTCGGCAATTGCTGTCGCATTTTCCCTCCTTTGTTTAAACAATTCTCAACTTAGTTCATTTAATATAATGGTTTGAGTTTAATGTCTCCAATTTGCAATTCGCAAGATGGGCCCTTCTATTTGCTGACAACTGTAGATTCTGTCGTTTTACAAATTATGTCAAGTCCTTTTTCTCTCTTCCCTTTAGTACCTCTTGTAGGAAATCCTATAGATTTCTTTCTGTGCCTGCTTAGCAGCGTTGTTTTATCGACATAGTTTGTACACCCAATTAATGAATCCTTGTTTAAATTCTGATTTTTTATGAATCGCATCACTGAAGTCCGGTGAGAAAACACATAGAAGAAAAAAGGAAAATACTATGAAATATACATATTTAGATCTTGCCGACAGTTTAAATGAAAATGAAGAACATTCCAAGAAATAGCGAAATAGTATCAAAGCGTTCTAACGGAATGGCGATTGAATCAATTAAAGAAACAATAAAGAATGGTGGGCTTTTCAGAACGTGGCATTATTGAAGTTATGTCTATTGTTTCAACTTGACCCCCATAAATATTCAATATTACCTTAATAAACATAGTAAGAGAAATGTGTTCTTTTCCTTAAATTTATCATTTGTATCGTACAGTGATAGCAGCAGCAAAGAATGTTATAACTAGAATATTAAGAGTTGATGATGTTAAGCATATCGGAGCTGCTTTAAATTCTATGTATGGAGAGAGAATGCTATTTCTTGTGTTGGTTTTAAGATGGCACAGTGCGTAATAATGATATTTTTAATAAGAGTAGAAATATATATGTGACATTTGTTATCTATCGTTATTATAAACGGACGACAATATGTTTAAAATTCAGATAAGAGTTAATTGTATCCAGCAACGAAAAGAATATTCAAATATCTTCGAGGTGCGTTTGCATATATATGAGTACCACCAACAATAAATATACGTGCTCTATTTATCTATCGATCTATTTACAGTACAGCCTATAATAAATAAACGTACTCTATTTATCAATCTAGACTTCACAGTTCAATTATTATACCTGTTCTATCTATCTATCTATCTATCTATCTATCTATCTATCTATCTATCTATCTATCTGTTATGGTAATTTACCCACGCGCGCATGGACAATACCAGCAATAATAGGATCAAGTACTGTATTTTCGAGAGAGGGAAGATTCCAGCAGTCAGCACTGACAGTCGGACCGAACATTCTTGCTGTAACACTCTCGTTTGTAGCAATGTTTCTGTTAATATATTTATTTTAACTCAATTCCTCTATTTGTGTCTTTATTTTTTGCTATGGCAAGGCCACAACAAATTGGCGATGAGGACCCCAAAGGATCCTTGAGGAGCCCAAACGGACTGCGTGTAATTTGTCAATATTGGTTATACACAACCCTCTCGTACAGCCTACATTAAATATATGTGATAATCTATCTATCTATCTATCTATCTATCTATCTATCTATCTATCTATCTATCTAAGATTCAACCTGCAATACATATATGTGTTCTATCTATTTATCTATCTACTACCGAGCTCGCTACCTAGCTGGTTTTGAAATAAATATGATTTACATGTTAAAGCTTAAAAACTCTCAATTACATATGCAAATTTCAAATGTATTAGAAATGATAATGATACATTAAAAAATGCTTATATATATATATATATATATATATATATATATATATATATATATATATATATATTTGTTTAAATAAAAAAAAACCACTTTATTTTGTATGTAATAAATCTTTTTTTACCACAGCCCTTTTAAAGGGCTCTGGATCATCAAACTTTTATTCAAAAGGTTGAAATGAAAAAAAAAAGAAATTTACATTTTTGACAAACCGTATTAAGCATATGTAAATTAACGAAAATTAAGTGAGGGGACAGAAAATGAGTGAGTTAGATGTACCATTTCCATTCTTTATCCCTAACCCCGCTTGGTTCCAGACAAACCCTTAAATTAACCTATGTTAAACAAGATATGGATGGGTAAGGGTGAAGAGGGAAAATGTTTAAAATTCAAATTTCATTTTCAACCTTTGGAAGTAAAAATATTATGATCCGAAGTCCTTTAAAAGGGCTGTGGTGAAATAATTTATTACATGGAACCTTAAAGTGGTCTGTTTTTTTATTCAAACATATTTGATTTGAATTTACATTGAGCTGTCCGGATATCATCCTCCTTTCATTACCCATGCGGATTACCTAGTTTTGCATAAATATATATATATATATATATATATATATATATATATATATATATATATATATATATATGAATTTTTTTGTTCATAATTTTTATATACTATTTGTTTTATATTTTTAAAATTACAAAATATGCTCAATGTAGATTTATAGAGCATTAATGATTACAAATTAATTGATTTGAAATATGGTTTTTTCCTCTTAAATATCTTTTTAAAAAGCTACTACAAAATTCGCTTGAGGATGAAATGGAAAAAATGTCTTTAATTTAATTACAAAATTAAATTCTGAGCTTTAAAAAAGCAAGTGTTTTTATTGGTTAGAACTGTTTCTGAAAACATATTTCAAATCAATTAATTCATTATATATATATATATATATATATATATATATATATATATATATTAGGAGTTGGTGTCGAAAACACCTCATACTCGGACCTCTGTTCAGGCGCCATAATCAGGTTCAGTAACATGAGTGATTTTAAGCATATTTCAGCGATGGATTTCAGAAATGAGTACATTGCAGATTTTCTCATTCACTTGGTGATTAGTCGCTCTGAAATTCGGCATAGATAAACTGGCCTTTAACGCACATGCCAAGCAGTAACTAAAAAACGCGCATACTGAAGATTTTCGGAGTAGAAATGCAGAAACTTTTGTTGGAAAACTGCATGATATCATCAGCATTCGTGAATCTTGCAGAGCCGTTCCAAATCAACATTAAGTGATTCGCATAATAATTAAAGACACGTCGAGAGAAGTAAGATTATTGACAGACTGGCTCAATATGATGCACGCCAATCAGCATTTCCTGCGTGCATATTTCCATTGAACTGTTGCAAAACAGCAGGTACAGTCAGGGAATAGCGCCACGTATTTCTGTCTGCTATCTTTGAATTGAGAATATGCGTATAAGCTAAAATAAAAAAAAAATCTCATGTTGATGTAGTTTATTATTGTACTATATGAATGATAATGATTATTCTATATAAGTAGTGTATCCGTGGCGTCAATTACAACGGCATTTTGTAGAAACTTTTAATAGAGAGATGTAATGAATCAAAACCTGGAAACAATATACTGTGTTTCAAAGGGGAGATAACCAGTTATCGACTAAAGTAGCGGCCAATGAACCATTTAATTAAGCCGTTACCTTTACACTTATCAGCATTTCAGCAGTATCTATGATCATTGATTAATCTTAGTATCATATAATTATTTATTTTTCTCAACAACTAAGACGAATTTGAAGAAAGACGAGTAATGAATAGACAAAGACATCTGCATGCCCCACATGCACTGCTCGACTTAGGAGTAAAGGAACTGATTATTTGAGCGGTAAAATTTGCTAGGGAAACAATTTTGTTTAAATGCAGATAACTACTTTATGTGCATTGATTACTGACAAAATTAGGGAGATAATCACTCGTAAATATACTTAAGTTGGTTTACCTCTCTTCCCATGAGAGATGAGACAAGAAATATTTAAATAAATACGTTCTGATAATTATAATATAGTTTAATAATAATAAGAGTTAATATTATTTCTATATTAATGAATGTGATTGTGTTATAATATTGAGATTTATTGTTTTATTTTATGAGTAGCAATAAATTGAATCTCTTTCATCTATGCAATATTTCAGAACTTCTGCGCTGAATTTAGTCATTTGTTTTTTACGGTTTATCACACTTTTTCAGGCTATTTAAAACGAGAAAATATTTTTACATTGTAAGAATTTTTCCAAGATAATATTTATTTAATGATACAAACACTACTAATTAACCCATAGCTGGGGAGAGATGCTGCTTCATACGTTTCCTAATGGCATTTGCACTTATAACTATATAGTAAATATAACGAACACAACTGGAATTGGAACTCGGCTTTCTGATTACCAATTCCGAGCAGTTTTCCAGTGCACCACTCGCAGATCCAAGCTAACAGCATTTCCAAACGTCCAAGTCATTACGGGCTTGACGTTGCTTAACTTCGTTGACCATACGAGAACCTGTGATTCAACAGTACACATTTTTGTAATTTTAATTATGTTTATTTTGGTATAAAAACTGTCAAGGAATGAGTAAGAACGAGAAAAAAAGAAAAGAAATAAAGTTTAAGAACAAACAGGGATTTTTTTGTTTTTACATTGTTACAATGTTTTAGTATTACTGCCGCTTTCTAATGTTTTACTAACTGGACCATATGATTTTTATATAAACTAATACATTTCAAACGAAAAGCAAGTGGCATCTCGGGAAGGATTTCAAGTATATGGGTAGGATGTTTGCCAAGGGAAGTAATTCGGCAGTAAATCAGAAGCAAATCTGTTGAAAAAAAAGCGATTAATTCTTTCATACGAACATAATTAATCCAGCAGTTCTTCAAAAAAGTAAGACTTTAAATTTTAAAAAACAAAATAAGACTTTTAATTGTAAGAAATTACTTGAGTATAACAGATATCGTATTCGAAAGTGAAATCAGCAGGATGAGTTCGATTTCCAGGCTAGTCTATTGAGTCTATTTTCACACTCTTATATTTATGGCAAGGCATGAATCCGACTGTACACGTCACAGTGATAGTAGAAACAGCTGTGTATAGTGAAATATTTATACGTGCATCGCAACAAGTCTAAAAGAACGAGAAAGTCAAAAATTCCAAATCATGGAAAAAGGAACGGGAATCTACTTTTCGACTTTTCCCCAAGAATTCATGTCAATTAACATATAATAATGAAATGGTATCTGTAGAGAAACACGATTACCTGACAGAACACCGCATTAAAAACGAGTTTAGTGCCCATTTTCCAGTCTTGATAGAGTTCAAAAGCGTCTCCATTCGAAGAAAGAGGAGTAATGAATAGAGAAAGGCATCTGAATGCCTCACATGCACTGCTCGAACAAATAAGACTGTAAAAAAAGACTTAGGAGTAAAAGAACTGATTATTTGAGCGGTACATTTTGCTAGAGAAATAATTTTGTCTAGATGCAGATAACTACTTTATGTGCATTGTTTATTAACGAAATTAGGGAGGTAATCACTCGTAAATACACTTAAGTTGGTTTACTTCCCTTCCTATGAGAGATGGGACAAGAAATACGGTTTATCACATTTTCTTTTTGTTTTTTTTTTGTTTTAGAGAATAATAATTTTCCACCGTCCAACTTCTCTCACACGAGCGGGATGTGGTGAGTCTCTCATTGCTATATCGTTACTTCCATGCTCATTCTAACATTCCCGGTTAAGACCCACCATGCCACTTACATATTACCAAACCAGTCAATTCCCTCTGTATTCTATTGACGAGAATTAATTTCCGCTCAAACAGCATCTTCCCGCGAGATATTGCCCTGTGGAACAGACTCAACGGTGGATCTTTCCCCCGACCACGATATTCTCAACCTGTTGAAATCTAAAGTTAAAACTAATCTTCCCATTCTATTCATATAAACTACCTCGTAACGTATCTCTCTACCTTGAGTGGCCACCGAGCCTTGTATAGTGTGAACCTTCGTGTTAAAAAGGAAAAATTGATGTCAGTTTAAAATAGGTGGGGATTTAATATATAAAAAAATGAATCAAAAGTAGAGAAATGTGAACAGGATTATGAGAAACACTGATAGAGACTGCCTAAACCTCATACGCTAATGGAAAAGGTGTTAGCGTAATTTATATTTTCTCCAACAAGTATAGGCTTATAAGTAAACCTGTCTGACGCATTCGCAGAAACTTATACGTACATAAATGCACACATGCATACACATTAACACACCGAAATATATAAGTACATACGTACATGCAAAGCGTATAGTTGCCAATTCACGTGTCGCATACCAAAACATTGTAGTCGTGCCGTCTAAAAAGGATCTCGCATTAAAAAAAAAAGACATACTAACACAATTTTTTCAAACGAGAGAAAAGAACGTGATGAAATATATATCACTCGCTCGTAGCTAGAAATTCACTTTGAAATTCAACCAAATTAAAAAAACAAAACAAAACAAAAGCATTTTAGCTGCTACGTCTGTATAGTTACACACGCGCATTCCATCATGCTAAAGTAACACGCACACACACACACACACACATACATAAATACAGACGCAACCACACAGAGAGAAGGAGGGAGAATGAGCTTGCACGGAGACACAATTATCTATAATAATGCCCGCATTTCAAGTTAAGAAAAGAGAAGAAATGTAAAGGAAAATAAAAAGCATAATATTAACGAATACAAAGAAAAGTAAAGTGACGACGTTTCACTTCTAGGTCACAGACTCTGATATAAACACATCAGAAATATACATCAGTATTTTGCACTTCTATCCGCTCAAAAGCGCGCGTGCGCATTAAACAATTTATCGAAGTCAACTGATGATAAGACATTTTCAGATGACGACAATTTTTAGTGTTAAATTCAAGACCACACACCGAGACTAGCTATCACCTTTTGTAGAATCTTTCCCGATAAAAGTTTAACGTCTGCTTACCAACAATAAAATAAAATTCTATTGGAAGTCTTGTGGTTTCCTCCTAAAATGTCTGACCTAAATCATAATGAGGAGGTGAGACATTTTTGATTCTGAAGAGATTTCGGGCTAAATTTGCAATACAATACCACAAATCTCACAAGGATGGCACTGAACATATCAGATTTTATTATTCAACTTAGGGATTTCATAATAGAATAGATAGTATCCACGCAATGTCTATAGAATTACCAGGATATATTTATGTGATAATTCTACGATGGCAGTTTCAACTTATAATACTGGTTTTCCCCCAAAAATATACTCACCTTTTGTCTTCATCTTCAGTTTGAATATTTATAAGCAGGCTTTTACTTTCATTTGATATTTAGTTGAAACCGCTGTCAGTAAATATAAATATTTCGTAATTTTAACTATTAATCATGTTTGTAAGTTAATAAACATTTCATTTATTGTTATTTAAAAATGGTTGCTTTTTGGGGTCAATCATGCTTGTTCTATTAGTATGCAAGTTCTCTCAGAAATTCCAATTAGAATTCCAATGGTTTCTCAGGTTGTAAGTAAACAATTCGTTTCGCATATGCCGTTATTTCAAATAAATAATGGACCATGCAGTTTTGAACTGCGAGGAAAACTGGGGGTAAAATTAGATAATCGACAACGTTTGGTTTTAAGTGAAAAAATAAACAAACGATATTATATTCATATTGTCAACAATTTTCACTTGACAATATGAATATTATAGCGTTTTCTAAATTCTTCCTTTTGCTAAGGACATTTCGTTTTATCATTAGTTACTTTGTTGTAATAAATTCATTTCGTTTTTGCCTTGAAAAAGTCCACACTGGACGAAACGCGCCGGTTAATATTACAGTTTTCCTACTGTGTTTTACACTTATAAATATTGTTTTTCTACAGGTTAACTCTGAGAAATATTTCATATATATATATATATATATATATATATATATATATATATATATATATAATATACGAAGCAGAACAAGGCATAAACTGGTAAAGTTACTTAAAATAAAAATACTTAAAAAAACTCCAGTTGCATTTTCAACGTCTATATTGAACACATATGCCTGTGGTGGTGTATGTGTGTGATGTATGTCCAAGACGCGGGTTGATGCTTTCGAAAAACAATTTGGAAACCTCTAACTTAGCGGTTTAAATAAATCATTTAACTTTAGGTAATCAAATGAAATTTAACTCGGCAAATATTAGCAAATATCTTTCTCTTCCTTTGCCTTTTCCATCCTTATCTATCTAGCTATCTGTCTATCTATCTATCTCTCTGTTTCTAATTATTATACAATATAAACTGACACTTCTCTGTGGCTGAATAGTTCACAGCACCTCAGAAAAAATATCAGTTACCATCAGGGTTATATGTCCGATTTCTGCTAAAGAGCGTGCATCTTGTACAAAAATGGAATACTGTTAATTAAAAAAACAAAAAACAGAGCATTTACGTAAAATAAATTATATCTATAAGAATCATGTATAAGCAGAAAAATATATTAAATAATAATACTTAATGCATTTCATTATATATATATATATATATATATATATATATATATATATATGTATGTATAAAGAGAGAGAGAGAGAGAGCGAGAGCGCCTGGATTTATTTGTAATTCTTTAGGCCAGTAGAAGTAATACACAATGTTTAAAAACAACGAGAGTCCATTTCAAACACGGATATCCAATAAAAATAAATCAGGAATATATATATATATATATATATATATATATATATATATATATATATATATATATATATATATATATATATATACACACACGCATGCGGATACACACCCACCCACACGCACATATATACGTGAGTTAAAAGGAACACATCTTTTCATTTTCTTTTGAAAGTATTAACGGAATTTTCTTTAGCTATTAGCGATAAATGGGCTGGCAACCCCGGGGGAAAATATGTGTAGTTACTGACTCTTTTATTACTGAAAATTCCCTCCCAAAATGACTTCGCATCACGACACAGATGGAAAGCTGACTTAGAATTACTCTTTACGGAAAGAGAAAGGCCTGCCAATTTTCACAGGAGGTTTGTAACTTTTTATGGAAAAGCTGCACTTCATAGAAGTACTCTAAGGAGATAGGTTAGGAGCGTTAATGGCAATCCTAGAGAGAAACGGTAAGCTAATCATATACTAAGTCTCCGAAGTGACACGAAAGCCGACTGAAAGTGAACGTATATATGACTAACCCCAATAAAATACTTCTTTCTTTTTCTAAGTGGCGTGTCTCTCCAGGACATGAACGATCGTGATTCTTCACCACATTCGCTCCTTTGTATCTGTTCGTGTGACTTTTTTGGTGTTATCTCTTAATCTTTGTCTTGGCAACCACGTACACATGCTAGTTAGGCAATTTATTGCTACTTTCTTCTGAGTCTCTTGCTTTCAATATATCCTATGAGTGTCAAACTCTCTAATCCCTCTTTCCTTACTATGCCCGACGACAATTTTAAAATTTCCTATTTGCATATAAATGTCGTTTTTATTTCCATTTCCCCCAAAATTCCTCGGCTTATGGCCACATCACGTTCAAACATCAGTTTCTGTATTATCACCGAAGTCAAGCCCGGTCAAGTCCTGGATGGGTGACCGCTTGGGAATACGAGATTCTGTAGCTTGTCTATTCAGGTGGTGTAATGGATAATGACTCGGAAATACTAAGCAGACATTTTTACTTAAAGTTCCAGTTGTAATCGTTATATTCACTTATGTACAAATACAAATTGGGAAGGTATGAATACACCTATTCAGCCAACAACTTTGCATTAAGTATCGGAAGTACAGTGGAGTAATGGATGGCGGCTCGGATTGAGGAATTGATTTCGAATTCCAGTACATTCACTTACGTGCTTTTACCCTTGAGAAAGGTATTAATCCTTTTCTTTTCCCCCAGCTAAGTAAATAGGAGGACAGACTTGGTTCTTTAGCCTTGGATGGCAACTGGACTACCGCAGAAAGAAATGGCAACCTACTGCGAGGAAGTAATCTGCCTCGTCATTTATGTATTGAAAGATACATGATCGCTTAAGCGTGTATCACGCACGGCACACAATTAAGCAAGGCATTTACCGCTTAATTATAATATAAAAAAACGCGATCTGAAAATCGAAAACTATTATTTGGTATTAAATAACCTGTAAAGTGTCGATAAGTTGAAGAAAAAGAATCAAATCATTAGTCAATTACACTTCCTTGTTACACACGATATCCCGTTTCTTAATACATTGCTTAGTTTTCGGAAGGCATCTTTCTCTATTCCAATGCGCTTTCGGATTTCTACGACGCATTTTCCGTTCTCTGTTAAAACAATTGCTAGAAATTTTCCTTGATTTGATTTCTGCAAATAAAGAGTTCATATTGAGCGAGTATAGTCTGAGGGCCTTAGAAAAGATCATTCTTCTTTGAACACTGTGATCTGGCGAATGAGATTCACAAACAAGAACTGAACTAAATAACAGAAACCACATCACTTGAGGACTACCAACAACAGCAACAATTAAAATGGATAGATATGTAACTCGAAGTGAAATTAATGACACAATTCCACAACACTTTAAACAGAAGATTCGGAAGAAAACGTCCATTAATACTGGAAAGAGCAGTAAACTCTACTGGACTTTAGAAAAATGTGTTTCTAATGTAAATGTTTAAATAGAAAAAAAAATAAAATTTTTAACCAAAACAGTACTGGCTGTTCGATAAATGTATCTCAAATGTTTCTTTTTAGGAAAACGGCTGATAATACCATTACCATTATGCTAGTAACTATATATTCTGCTGTTTTAAAACTCTGAGAAATCTTCCAGCTGAATTATGATGTTGCAATCATATGGTTCCTGAAACTGTTCACAGATTATTACATACTTCATGGCAGGGTAGAGCGATTCATGCTGACTTACTTCAAGAGCCACGCAACAAGAATAGACCATCCTGAAGCAAGTGCGAAAGTAGAATACAATGTAAATGTCTTTATTCCAAGATGTTATGGCAAGCGATAACGAGGAGGGATAGATATGGATTTTCTTAAAAATACATATGCGCACCTAATATTAATTTCACAACAGGGATGATTTTTATCAATTCTTCAATCTATCTATCTATCTATCTATCTATCTATCTATCTATCTATCTATCTTCAAACACTTAAATGCAATGTCAATCGTTATATTTTTCAAAAACCCTGGTGTTTAGTAGTTTTATTTTCTTGTTTGAGGTGAAATCATTAAAATAATCTCTTACTTCTCCCTCACTCTTTTTTTATATATATATATATATATATATATATATATATATATATATATATATATATATATATATATATATATAAATAGAGATTATTTAAATATATATATACATTTTATTTTATAAAATATTTATGTTATAATTTTCGAATAAATAGTTATATATATATATATATATATATATATATATATATATATATATATATATATATATATATATATATATTTGCGGACCTTGTGGCACGTAGTGCATCAGGTCTCTGTATTCGGCCCTTCAAAAAGTGTGTGTGGATGGTCCTGAACGAAACCGTCATCACTATAATCAGTTCTTATGTGCTGCTGTCGGTTTCCTGAGAACTGATCTGCTTGACCTCGTGCGTCGAATTCGACGGGAGAATCGATTATATATATATATATATATATATATATATATATATATATATATATATATGTGTGTGTGTGTGTGTGTGTGTGTGTGTGTGTGTGTGTGTGTGTTATTTATATTTTATTGCATGGTGTGGTATATTATTGCTAATTACTGTCATGTTATTTTTAGATGAGTTACTGATAAATATGCCAATAATTAATCCATAATCTCAGGAAGTTGTAGATTCATACCTTTCAACAAAGGTATTTACATATATGTGATTATATCGAACCTCTCTAACTAGCAATTCATAGACAGTATCCATTACATCACACACACATTCAAGCTTATATCACCTTATGTTCCTAAGCATTCAGCGATCTAGGGTACTGATCTTGATTGACTTTTCATATCTACGGTGATCGTACGAGAACCGCTGATGATGCAACTGTAACAATCAACCATATATCGATCCGTTGGTATATAAAACGGGTGCATCCTAGTAATATTAATTATTAAAGCTGATCCACAGAGAGCTCGATATTTTTTTTATTTTAACAGAGCATATGTATTCTTTACAGAAAAAGTCAAAAATTACCTCAACATAGATATAATCTAGTCTATGTATACGGCTATCATGATATGATGATAGCCGTATACAGAACGGCTTGAAATATGTTGAGGTAATTTATATATATATATATATATATATATATATATATATAGAGAGAGAGAGAGAGAGAGAGTTAGAGAGAGGAGAGAGCAAGAGATAAAGAGGGTAGGGGAGAGTGTATGACTTTGATGTGTAAGCCTTTGAACTTGAAGGATATCAGTATTCATATATCTCCGCCGAGCAAACCAAAAATTGTTACAAAGCTCTTGCGGTAACACAATTAATTTGTCTGTTCGCATTTGGTAGATATTCGATATAAATATCGGAGAATTTTAAAAGTTAATGAACTCTCTCTTCGGCTCTATTAATGGTGAATAATTGTCTAGCTGCAAATAATTCAGCAAAGTATTGCATTGTCCTCCCTTCACTAACAGCTGCCATTACGAACGTCTTCTATGAAGAAAAATCTGAATAAATGCCAGCAGCATTTTCTGAGAGTTCTATATTTGTGATCTCCACTCCTCGTTACAACCAATTTTCTGAAAAGCCAACATTTGTGGATTTGATTGCTTATGGATCTAAATGAGCGAGCATTATAAATAGTCCAGAAGCAATTAGAAATTTGAAGAACAGAAGAATACATTTGAAATACTGGTCTTCAACTAAAGTAAGTCAATTCTGGAATTCTTGTGAGTATATTCCTTTCAAGAATAGTGAATATTTATATATTCCATAAATCTTCTAAATTCCATCTCATGTTGATCAATAATAGAAGAGTACCAAGCCACTTCCGACATTAAAAATGACTACAAATATTCGAGGCACTTTATATGAGAATGATACTTTATTATTCACCTATAGTTTCATAAATAACAAAAGTCAAACTACCAATAATAATTTCCCCAAAATGTTAGTCAGCAAGCAAATATTTTTAAAAAAAGGAACAAAAACCCCAAGAGAAAATAAAAAAATCGTACGCTTTTCCTACCGTAAACATATGCGCGATAATTAAACAATAAATCAATCCAATACAAATACAATTTGCTTAATAATGACAATGACGCCTTCATTCAAGTGATCGACTTGTTTGTTAAACGACATATCATCACCTTATGTGTCATATGATGCCGAAAATTAATGTTCTTTCAAGTAATAAAGATATATGTTATTCTGCTTTCACAGTTGAATACAGGGTAGAAGAAACTCAGCTTTTGTGAATATACATGTTTTTGTAGACATCATTCCTTGAAGTAGGGATGTGTCTGTTTTATGTCGTAGTTTTATTTTGGAATTTTAATTTCTTTAAAAAATTGTAGGATATTATCTGGATTAATATAATGAATGCGTTCATTTACGTTGGTTGTTTGTTTGTTTTTTTTTGTTTTTTTTGCTTATCGGCACACCAACCACCATGTGTCATCCAATGCCAAAATCTAAATACTCCCAACACAATTTTGTAGCTTCTTACTAAAAATATTTTGAAGGCAAGTGTATGCTTTCAACTACTAATAAAATATAATTTTGGTCATTTTCCTATAAATATGTAATGTTGTTAATTTCTTTAACTATACAAAAATATATTGCTGGTATTTTTACTAGAAAAATGCTTTCTATTTATACTTTCATAGTATTTTGTGTGGGGGCGTCAGTATTTGCCCATAGTCGGGACCATAGCGTGTCAGTCTGGACTTTGGAATAACAGCAATTAAGAGGTAGTTACACACTCATCAAAACCTCCAATTTTCCGATCAAAGGCCCTACTGCCGAATGAAATTTTTCGTCATACCCAAGACTAACAGAAATTTAACATTTGCTCTAAAAGCTAATCATTAAGTGTAGCCGTAGACATGGGAAATCGCCTCCACGTTTTATATGAATTCCCTTTCTCCTTTGGGAGAAATCATCTCCTATAGCAATGCTAACAAAACAAGATTACATACTTACATTGGTCCCACTAACACCACATGCTCGCGTAGATTATCTTGGCACTTTGAGAAAGTGTCATATAATAAGAAAAAGAGTATCTAGAGACATCGAGGTTGAGTGTGACACTCTATACTTATGAATATATGTTTTACGCACGGTGTATAAATAGCAGTGTTAGGCTACTGACTGCAGCGATTATTCATTGACTACTGAGTGGAACTATAGAGTCGAATTAGTGTAGATTATTGGGCATCGATGATTTGTTTTTTGTTTTGGATTTACCGGATGTTCAGCCGAGATGCGCTACTAAAAAGGTATTCACTGAAGAAGTTAATTATTTTTGGTTGACTTTTACCTCTTTGTTGTTGTTAACCATTTATGTTGCGGATGTAGTTAAATACGGTTTTATCTTAACAAAGAAGTTTTCATCTATACTTAATCATTTAACGGCCACAGTACACCACAAAAGTAAGTAAGTGTAAACTGTGCATATATAATTCATCTCCTTCCAAACAAGCAAATATACAATTACCATATTTATCGTGGTATATGACGCAAATACTTACCACGAAATCTGATGCCAAATTGTGCTTGCGTCTTATACATGAAGGTATTTATAAAACCGTTCGAATTCCGAGGGAATAAAGCAAAAGTGCAAGATCTTGAAAATAAAGGTGGTTATGGAACATAGAATGCGAAGAATATCTGTTTCTACAAATATAATTTTAAAGGAATGATCATTGTATATGGTAATATTTTAGAAGATTTTATTAGTCATTCACCGTAGGTTTATCGGTTCGAAGTCCTTATTACAAGTAGAACTGAACAAAGTGAAAAGCCGAAGCTTGTTCAGGTATGTATGTGAGTGAAGAATTCGCGGTAAAAATATGTGATATAGTGATTAAGCAATTTAAGACACATAGTAACAGAATTGATACCAGCAACTGTTCATAATAGTGGATCCAATCATGAAATATCTGATTCCTTCCAGTGTGATTATGAAACAGATGAAGATTTTGTAGGTTCTGAAGGTTCTAAATAATATTTTTGTTATATTTCGCTGTTTTCAGATCTTTTTTTGTTTAGAGCGATATTAAAAAAAAAAAGTTTCTCTTCAAAATGTGTATGTCTTATACGCCGTGCGTCTTATATTACGAAAAATACGGTATTAACACAATATGTAAATGCTACAGAGAACATACGGCAAGGAAATCCTCAAAAAACACGAAAAACATTCTTATCAATAAAAAAAATAAATAGACTAGCGGATTTCAGCAAGTACTGAAAATTTTAACGACAAAATAAAACCAGGAATAATTATTGTCCTTTATATAAAAAGACAGATACAATTTGTATTAATCAGTATTTATAAAATGACTGAAACGTCTGCAATATCATAAGAGTTTCATAAATAATGCGCGTTTTAAAGCAAACCAGATTGTAATATTAATGCAAATGACATGAGTAGCATTGATAAAGCATAAAATATAAAAACATTAACTTTATTGGCAGTTAGGTCTTATCATTTTTCAGTCGAAGTGGCTAGATGTAACATTAAGTTCTATGCTAACAGTTTCTTCTATGGCATTTCTCGCCCGTGGAGCTCTTTTTCGGCATGGTGATTTCCAGTCAAAATTGATCTTCAAAAAATTAATTGTATTATCAATCGTCATCTTCTTGATTTCCTATGAGAAATTTAATTAATAAATAACAAAATAAGCCAATTAAAAAATAAGCATTAATGTACTGTATAGTAGGTATACATTTATTTCGTAAGATAAAGGCATCAGCTTTTGGTCAAAATCCCGTCCTTTTGTGGGCGGACTGAAGTGACTTCTCCACAGAGCATCATTGTGCCATAATTTCTAGGGTACCGAGTTGGTATCAGTCTGAGATTCTAACCCTTAGGCCATAAACGCATGGCACAGAGACAAGCAAATATTTGCATATTTATTTTTTCATGAACACACCAGCAACTCAGAGAACTCAATAGCTAGTAA